GGCGACAACAATCCGAGTCCTACACCTCCTTTGGACCTTGACCCTTCTTCTCGTTTTACAGTTCAATCTGAACAGCCTGATCACTGGAATTATCATCCAATGCATGATGGTTGGGATGAACGAACTCGATGGTTGAGAAGACAGAAGGTATCCTTCTGTAGTGCGCTTTTCCACTTCTAGGAAGATGAATATACAGGTGCTTTTCACAGGAGAGGGTACTTCCACAAATATTTGCCCAAAAGACACAGGAGATACTTTTCACAGGAAAAGATAATCTGTCAAATCATATGGGATGCGCTCGAGCCGCAATCCATGCCACAACTGGCATCAAGTGGAGCTAACCTCCACATCTTTCGTGCGGTAAGCTTTCCATCTGGAGAGGGAACTGAACACGTGGGCAAACTTTTGAGCAAGAGTTTTATCCGAAGATCCGTTTGCGTTTGTTTGCGTGTTCTGCTTGTTTTTCATAAAGCTGTCTCCAGGCCGAAGATGCACAGATTTTCGCAAGTCACTTTTGCACCTCAATGTATTACTCCGCTCGAAATTCGCTTGGGCAAATAACAGGCAATGTAGAATGCCGACCGACTTCATGGCAATGCAGCTCTACGCGTTTTTGAATTTGTGCCTGGTTGAAACACTAAATGTTACACATACGGGTGCCTGTCTGTTTCACGTATCACATGCCTGTATCTATGCCTGTTGCTCAAGGTTCTAGCAGAGTACTGATCTACAGCTGTGCGCCTGTAGCAGAGGGAGACACTGCGTTTGCCTGTGTTCATGTGCGCTTTGCGAGGGGATACACGCCCAGGCTGCTTCTCGGGGGGGGGGCAGAAATGGGAACCCACGTTCCCCGGTCCTTGCATGCCTGGATGCAAGAACCACTATGGTAAGCCTTCCCGGTCGTGCGTTTTGTTCTGTTAACTACCATTGCTATAAGCCTCGCTTGGACATCCAGCCAGAATCTTGCAAGCAGCGGCATGCAGGTCCAAGCTTTCATTTCAAAAACTGTCGCATCGAATGAGAGCCACATTCTATCTGTCGAGGAGTCCCGGGCTTCATCAAGTCAGCGGCTTAATTGCCGGTTTGTCGCTAGGGGAGGTGGCTCTGAGTCGCGGCCGATCAGCTGTCAACGTGAGTTCAGCCCCTTCAATCCCAAACCCAAAGCACGTGCTGAGGGCCGTGGTGGTGCTTAACCGGCAGATGCTGGTTCCCAGCCTCTTCGCAGAGACTCCGACCAAGGAGGTGGATTGGGGCAGGACTATCCTTTAAGGTCCTCGAAGCATGCAGAATTCACAGTGCTAGACAGAGCGAACTTGCTGAACGAGTGGCAAACAGGGCGAGGCTGGCACAGTCAGAACCCGCGCAGGACCCCTCTTTCACTGGCATCCGAAGCTATGAAGTTCAATTGCCAAGAGCCCAGCTGTGTCCAGAACAGTTCCTACGTGCATGCATGCCGCGCTGCGGCATCAGTTTCCACGTCGTTTTCAATACGAAGGGCGGATGCAATCAAACTCGAACGGGCACCGTTCTTGGAGTGCCACTTGAGGCCGACTGACGGGAGTGAGCTCTTTTGGCGTAGGCAGGGTCCGAGTCGCTTCGTCCTTGCTTCGCTTGGCACGTCGCATGCGAATGCTCGGACATTGCAAGATCCGGGTTCAGGAATCGGATGGACTGCGTCATTCCGTTCATTCCCCTGTGCACCAGGCGGCACCAACGCACACGTGGTCCTGGGGCACGGTGGCGAGCAGCGCGGACCAACAGTACGACTAAGCGAGGTCAAGTGCTGATTGCCAAGATTGCCTTCAAACACACAAAACCACGAACCCAAAGCCCTGGGGGTGACGTGGTGGGGTGTGGCGTTGCTGTTGCTATTGCTGCTGTTGCTGGTGCTGTTGCTTTTGCTTTTGCTGTTGCTTATGTTGTTGTTGCTGTTGCTGTTGCTGTTGCTGTTGCTGTTGCTGTTGCTGTTGCTGCTGTTGATGCTGCTGTTGCTGTTGCTGTTGTTG